AATGAACATTTTYTTTACAATTATTTAATCTGTCCAATTACTTTTGAGCCTCTGAAATGAAGGGATTGTGTTTAAAAGATGCTTTATTTCCTCACATTTTTGTGAATCATTTTGTTCAAACCACTGAATTAAAGCTGAAAGTCTGAACTTCAACTGCATCTGAATTGTTTTGTTTAAAATTCATAACTAACATTAGAAAAATGTTGTCTCTGTCAAATTATATATGGACCTAACTGTTTTTATAACAACAACAGCAGATACTTTTTTACTTGGAGGAGGAAGAAAAATGTTTTCTTATTAACCACAGATGCAAAAAGATGTGGACATCCAGGCTTTTAGGTAGAATTTGAAAGGAGAGCATTGAGACTTTGATCCAACATGACCACAGTTATCCATCTGCTTAGGAAGCTTACGAAATTTACAGAGATGTAAAAAAGTTACAGATGGACTGAGACTGAAAACATTACACATCAACAGCTACTGTAACATCAAGACTCATCTCCTCTGTCCAAGCCGGCACAATTTAGTATTATGTGTCTTCCACTGGCTTCACACAGGATAACTGCGCTCACCCCGTATGACACTTACAGTTTATCAAAGTTCACGAGATTAAAAAAATAAAAATCTCCATGAACCAACGGTTTTCAGGGRGTCACCAGCTGAAAGAGGGCGTCATAAAACAGAACAGCCTCTTGCTGAACACCTGAGGTCTGCTGCACGTTATCGTGCTCAGTAGGACCAGATGAGCTGCTCCTCGAAGCAGCCGTCTCACTAGTTTAACAACTGGCTCGTGCTCTGGGAGCGGATCATTTTCACCGACTGCCAGAAGCACGCCCTGCTCCTCTGGACCTCTGCAGCCTTCTGCTACCCTGCAACCACAAACACACACAAGTGTGTGTCCCCAAAATAATCTGTGTCCCCACCAGAGTGRACACCGCAAGAGGGATGAAAAATCCCCAAGTATTTAGGAAGTTAGGGGTAGAATTAAACTAAAATATTGCGTTTAAAAGAAAAATGTTTTAAGCTAAAAATTAAAGGAAGGGGGATCACATAATACCCGAATCATAAATGTCCCACTTAAATAGGGCTGAGGTATAAAACAATATATATTGTGACAGACACATGATCAGTATCAATACATCTGATAGACTGTTCATCATTTCACTGAACTCTGAGGAGGTAGGTTCCACTTTTTTGTAAAAAATTTGTGAGATGTCTCTATATGTCTGTATTCCTGCAAACTGGAGGAAAATCAATGTAATGTACAAACGATCCATATAACTTGACATGTGTGGCCTCAAGGGGTGAACCGATAAACCAGTTGGTCAATTGGGAGATGGGCAATAAGATCAGTGGAAAAGATCGTCCTTTCTACCTCCATAAAGGTCTGAAAATCAGCCACTATCCTCTTTAGCTCTGCTCTGAGCACTGCCTAATGTCCAGTTAAAACAAGTTTGTATTGTTTCAAGGGTATTGTTCAAAGTATTTCAGTAAAATAACATTTGGACACTGAAGTTGTTTTGTGACTTTATAACACCTGACAGTAGCTGCGTTTCCATTGACCATGAAAACGCGCAAATTAGAATTTCAAAAATAAATTTGCTCAATGGAAACACGTCAGTTTAGAAAAAATATTATGTTTTTCGACAAAATGTTTTTGTGCTAGGATGAGGTGGTTTTTCAGCCGTATCGAAATTGGTGTTTTTCGCAAAACTGCAATGGAAACACTTTTTTCGCATCACGGGAATCGCGTGATCGACAACCAGCTGTTTCTACTGGCGAAAAAGACGATGACGAAGAAGATAAC